AAAAAAGCCACTCGCCCGAAGAAGCCATTGTATGACGAAACACGTGTTGCATTTTTGTAAAATTGTTTAGTGAAAATCTCATAATAAAGTGTTTTTAAAATACGCTAGTTATGGATTTTTATCAAGTATCGGCCGATTCCATCATATATCGATTCATTTCTATGTATTGGTTTTTTTGGCCTTTGAGAGTGCCGCAATCTTTAAATATTCACAATATCGTTTACTTTGACTATACCAATATAAAAAATCACTAATCGAATGTACGTAGTCCGTGAAATTTGAACATTCATCTTATTTTTTGAACAATCCACGTACATATCGCGGAAAAACTGACTTTTATATGAAAATTTTGGATAACTTGGGTTATATTATTGCAATTTTCCATTAAGGATGTTAGTTCGGAGATAATACTAATATCTGAACCACTTTAAATTGTCTGAACCCGTTCCTAACCTGCTCCGTTCTCTTCATTATAAGAATTTGAACCCTTTCAAAATGGTATGAATGAATGTGGTAGCCACTATGTCGGTCATGAATTATTCAAAATTGCAAACGAACCTATAAACATTAGTTTATTGCGTTGGACATTAAAAATCGATCCATATTTTCCGTCTGGTCTCATCGCGAATCGCTTACAGAAGACAACATTAGATATTTCATCTGAAAGGCAAATTCAATTTTTATCGTCTTTTTCTGACTTGCATTATAACCGGTATCCAAACACGGTAGCAACTTCTCAACGTAGGACGTTGAATCCATAGCTGTTTGCAAACTTGTTTTCTTTTATTCAAGTCTTTTACCATTTTCGAAACAATGGTAACCAAACTGATCAATGAAATGCTTGAAAAAACGTACCGATTCATCGAGATATGTTTAATTCAAAAATGACCTTGTTTCAAGAAATTTTCGGTATGCTCCATCGAATATATATTGTTTTATTTCAGCAAATAGTATTCCTTCAAAAAACACAGGTAAACAGTGTTTTTGTCACATGAACTTTGTGATGTGTTTTGTTTACGTTGGCCTACCCCCATTATAAATATATAATAATTTTGTTTCAATCCACATCCA